ATATATATAATCAGGTCTCTCTTGTAAATGAGTCCTCGAGGCTCAATGGGATTTACCTGTATAAATAAAGGTTGATTGATATATATATATATCACTTCAGTATTATTTATTTAACCGTCATTTCTCATGCCATATCACGTTTGGCCAGCAGAGGGCAGTAGCGACATAAAGAGACTGAGGTCCTGAGAAGAAGCAGCTCAGTTCAGCTTTGTCAGCATAGTGAAGCTCATCTAACACTTCACATTATTATGTCACATCAGTCAAATAAATAAATAAAATACATCATAAAATAAACAAGCCTTCCATAACGTTGAAAAGAAACAAAACTTGTAAAAATTAAATGAACAACCTGACTGCTCGTTGAGTAAGTGTACAAACATCTGACAGATAATGTTGGGTTTATCAGAAGCCAATAAAGGAAAAAACACTTTCCAGTTGAAAAGTAAGACAGCAAAACAACAGAACATCTTAATGAATGAAGGAAAAAAAACTTTAAATGTAGAAGTTGCCAAATCTGCCTAAATCTCCAAAACAAATCTCGATCTTCTCACAAAAGAAGCCCAAGTTGTTTTAAGTTAAACTAAAAGCCATGCTTTATGATGCCTGGCTTTTAGTCTAATTATCTTTAATTTACATAATTTATTTATTATTTATTAAATAATTATTGTTAATTCATTAATTTTAATAATAATTGACTTGGGCAGCAGTGGCTCAGTTGATAGAGCTGCTGCTTCTCAGTGAGCAGGTCCCCAGTTCAAATCCCAGCTGGGGGCCTTTCTGGGTGGAGTTTGCATGTTCTCTCCGTGCATGCGTGGGTTTTCTTCGGGTACTCCAGTTTCCTCCCACAGACTAAAAACATGCATGTTAGACTGATTGGTAACTCTGAATTATCCCTAGGTGAGAGAGATTGGGTGGTTGTTTGTCTCGTGTGTCCCTGTGATGGACTGGAGACCTATTCAGGGTGTCCCCTGCCTCTCGCCCAGTGACTGCTGGATATGGACACCAGTGACCCCTGTGACCCAAAAAGAAAGAAACGAGTAAAAGATGATGGATGACCTGTGTCCTCAGGTTGATGTGATTCAAACCCACTGTCTCCAGTTCTTGTAGTGACATCCTGTAGAAACTTCACAGACGTCATTGATCCACAATTACACACAACTTTAACAGCTGTTTATGGACACGTGTCCTGGTCTGCACTTTGTGGATCTGAGGAATCATCACAAGTGAGTTATTCTGAGTTAATTTCTGATGATTTGACACTGTTTTCTCAGTGAGGATGGAAGTTCCTCTGAGACAAATCACACACACTAAATGTTTTTTTTGTTTTTTTTAATACCTAGCCATTACATTAAAAAACAAAATCCATTTTGGTTGCTGAGAAATGTGAAAATAGTTACAATCCATTCATAAAGAAAGAAAAATAAAGCAACTAAAATATTAATGATACTAAAACTGGCCTTGGGACAAAGGATGTTTCCTTTAACTTCACATTTTCTTGTTCAACCTTTTAAATCAGTCACTGCTGATGAGTGATTGTCAGTTTCTGTAAGATTTCTGCAACTGGAGCAGGTATTCTGTTTACTGGTGAACTTCCTCAGATGTCTCACATTTTAAGGGTCAACCCCACTCAATGTTTCAGCTCCTTTCATAGATCAGATCTCATAGAAGAGCACATCTAAAGAGCAAATTTAGTTTTTAGTGTTTGTTTTGGGCCATTATCTCGTTACAGGACTCATGATCATTAATTGAGACCAGACATTTTGACAAATGGAGCAGGTTTCGCTTCAGATGCTTCATATTTCATTGTACCCAGACCCATGGCCGGATTAACCATATGGGCAACTGGGCAACTGCCCAGGGGCCCACGATCTCTAAGGGGCCCAGGGCAGTGAGGGCACAAGCAAAATATCTGGTTATCTTTTTTTTTTTCAATCGGCTCCTCGACGGCGCGACCTGTCAATCAACTCAGAAGGCATGTTAGTAACTGACCAATCGACAACCTCAATTTGTCCCGAAGGTAAACGCCCCTTACCTGCTGACAAGCTCATCAGTTTTTTTTTCTTGAGAAACATTGTTTTAATTAAAACAATAAGTTTTATCTGTTGTGAGATGATTCTAGCAGTTTTGCAGATTTTTAATCTACTTAATGAAGAATAGTATGACTTTAAATTGTTCATCAAACAGGAAGGAGGACTTAGGAGGACTCCTCTTACTACAGTGAATATGGTACTTTGCTATAAGTAAGCTATATATTATGGCATCAGGGAAAGCTGAGGTTTAGTTATCCACATAAAATAAAACGGCATCAGCATGAAAAGAAAGTATGTTAAGTTTGAGATTAATCCAGTTTCTGATGTCTGACCAAAGACTTTGTATTGACGTGAACAAAAAAAATGCTTGAGGGATTCATCTTCTGATTTACAAAGGGCACACAAAACAACATCAAATTTAAATCTTCTTTGCAGAAACATGGCTACAGGATATATCTTATTTATTATTTTTAAATGATTTTCCTTCACTTTAGGAGATTTAGGCCATTTGACATATTTAGAATGAGCAGAAATCATTCTGGTTTTATGATTTATACTGGGAGGTTTCTTGAAGAAATCTTTGTTATAATCAGTAAATCCTTTGTCACAAACATTCATTGATCATCTTGTTGCATTTGAAATCAACTCAGTTAAAGGCATTTAGTTTTAATGTGGGCATCAAATCATCACCTTTGAATATATAATATTTTTAATTCATTGAATCAGCTGTTGGTCAGGTTACTTCTTGTTGTGCCATTAGCTCTAAAATAGTTATTGAATCAAGTGTTTACTTCCATCCATCCGTGGGGGTAGCAGCCTCAGTAGGGAGGCCCAGACTTCCCTCTCCTCAGCAACTTGGACCAGCTCCTCCAGGGGAATCCCAAGGCGTTCCAAGTGTTTACTTATGTAGGTAAAACTAGATGTTAAACAACCATTAAAATACACCAGAATGCAGGAAATGGCATCTACTTTATTCAAAATTTTCTGGGGAGGACTCCCAGACCCCCCATCAGAATGCCCCCCCCCCCCCCCACACACACACACACATTATAAATGCTTCTGACACCAGTTCCCAACAGGTTACTAAACAAGTACACATATGGTGTCATGTGGTGTTCAAAGTGCGTTCAACTTAATTCAGTCTTGATGATTTGTGTCAATGAGCATT